ATTGCAAGATCTAGATCTGCTATGGTGAATACCCAAGGGAATTGGCGTCTGAACTCGAGATCCGGGGTGATGGCATTTTGTCCGGACTTTGCCATTTGTGTTTTATTGGCTGCCTGTAGCGTGACTATGGACATTTCGTGTCCGAGCTCGACCTTGTTTAGCGGAAGAATACTAAGAGCGGCTCCCGCGTCTACCAGGGATTCTATGCCAGAATTTCTGTCGGTGACGTAGAATAGGTGACTGTTCGGGCACCCCTCCCCAGCAGTCGCTACCTGATAAGGGGTCTTCAGTTTCCCTGTTTGCCAGAGGACTGCTTAGGCCAGTCGCATGGTTTTGTGCATCGTTTAGATTGTGCGCCGTATTTCTAGCGACACCAACAGAATCGTCCAGACGGCCTCGAGTGTCTGGGCCTACTTCGTGATCTATGTCTGAGTGATGACTTGCCTCTTTGGCTTTGATTCAGTTGGATTTGAGCCACAGCTTCCGTTAGTGACTTCACGTTTGTCATTAATTCAGTGATGCTAGTGTCCTTAGACGAGCTAGGACTAGTGTGCAGTGATAAGTGGTTGTCTCTGGTTGTTCCTCTCTCTATAATGCGGTCAGCAACTTCAGCCAATTCTGGAAGCGGAGTTTTCGGGTCCTGTGCGTCAATTGCACACTGGACATGATGCGGTAGTGCCTGTATCCAACCTTCCTTGAGGATGGCTTCTCTGGCTGCATTTTCTCCCATTATCTTTAGAAAGTACCTACCAGCATCTCCCCTTGTGGCAGACGTTGGATGCGTCGACAGTCTGACATTGGTAGACGGCCTATTATCTCACGCTTGAGCCTGGAATAAGGGTCTTCTCCAGGGGCATTGATTATGAGATCACGGACCTCTTTACTGCCTGAGAGAGGAAGAATGGAGCACAGGTCTTTGCATCTCAGTTTCCCTGACTTTATGTTATGTCAGTCAAAGAAATGCTCCAGCAGGGCGAACCATAGTTCTGGGTCTTGCCTATCGAAGGCTGGTAATCGATTCTTAGTCGCTACTAAAGTGTCAACCTCCAGTGAAACGGACTCATCGACGATATTGGAATCAAAATCAATGACGTTAGACATATGTTAGAAACAAAAATCAAAATAACAGATAAACAATTAAATGAACAAATGCAACAATACACGTTATCGGGCTCACCAATGTTGGACCCAGGGGCTTATGGCTAACTCTATAAACGATTTGCTTTAGACAGCCACAACATAGCAAATAAAAGGGCAGTAGTAGACGTATATCGCGTTTATTCCAAGCACTGAAGTAGGCAAGTTCAGCGGGCAAATCAAACGAGTACATTAAAAGTTGTTCACCATTCAATTGCAGTCAATAGCGAATATAAAGTTTACAACAGATAGAAATTATAATCAAGTTTACTGGGCACCACAAACGCACACCTACTGGGGCCATAGTTCAAGATGCCTTTAGACCAACTATCGGCGTGAGATGGATGTTCGCCTGGGGGTGAAAAGGGAGCATGACGCCGCTCGGTTCTAGATGACCCTTTGTGATCGCGTTTAGCATGTGGCTGAAGCATATCCGGATCACCTGGTTTACTAAGGGTGCTATCAACTCTTGAAGTCCCCGAAAATCCTGTCGTGGAGTTTGCAAGACCTTGATATATCCAGGACCACGTGTCGCACTGTTGCAGCGCCTAAATCCATTAGGTGCCTTATTTTACCAGCTTCCGGGGGACTGAGGGCGGGCGCTTCATGATTGTTCGGTTCAGCACTGGCACACAGGGTTTTCCCCGCAAACGATTTTAGATCCAGTGCCACTGGGCTCGATAATGCTCCTTTAGCAAATACTCTCGCGTCTCCTTAAAGGTAGTTGAAAGCGGTTTCAGGAGACAGTTTTGTTGAAACTAGGCGATGATTGCTACTTCTTACGCAGGACGTTGGGTGATTCTTAGCTTGAATCTGCCAACTGTCTTCGGGGTAAGGGAGTTTACTGTGTATGGACTGACTTTGCTTTTGATCTGTGGCTGGGTGGCAATTCAGTCAGAATCACTAGAAATGCAGCCTGTTACTAACGTTTGCGATTTATGTTTGCCAATTAACTAGGGTTTCTTGAACTTCATGCACAGATCGCACCAGGTATGTGAAGATGCAATTATCCCAGGGTAAAAAGTGACACGGGACAGAGGGACCTCTAGCTGATCTCTTATTTTCACACTAAACTGCCCGGAAGACAAGCCATTAGTTTTTGAGGTGAAAAAGCTATACAGCTCAAAAGCGTTTGCAGATGAGTTCATGAACTCAGTACAGCTAGCATGAGTCCCAGTGAAGAGGCAGTTGTGGATGGGGCTTTCTATGGGTACGGCTGGATTATTAATTTTTACCTTCATGGTAACCTTCTCAAAATCAGTGACAGGATATTGTCGTGGGAGAAAGCATCTGTACTCGGGAACTCAAGACGAAATGAACCTACCGTCGTCTGGCCTCTTATCTGTACGGTATGATGAATAGTAGGAGCAGAGGATAAATCAACTGGATTTGTGTCCGCTATGTTGACTTATCGTTATTTCCCCAATGTTCAGTAGAAGTTCTTCAGCGGCGAAGTTTCAAATATTGTCATCGCCAGGCAAAACAATCCCTTCAGTATAAGGTGGGTGCCAGATACCAGCTGATAGCAACAGTTGGGGATGGACCACCTGGTTATGCGCGCATAAACTGCGTGTGAAGTGTTATGGTTTCGAAGGCTAATAGTTGTACATATATATACATATGTATATATACATATTCCGGAACGAATATAATACGCGCTTAGCTGACAGCTAACCCGGTACGCAAGAGACACTGACTGCAACCCCGGGACGAATAAAGAGAAGACCGAAGCTGGCAGATGGGAGAGTGTTACTCCGAGAATATAATAATGAATCAATCCAAAACAAGTGAATAAGTATACATATGAAAAATGACCTTGTCCTCCATTTGAGGCATTTGCATAGTAAGAGTAAAGATTAACCAGTTAGCGATTTACATCACAATGGGGACATAAAATAGACTATTAGTCATACCGCAAAAATGGTGTGGGAAGGACAGATCAGATCAACAGCAATGCATTATACAAAACTGGGGCATCACTGGAGGAAGATAACTTCGTCCAGCGATATGAGTTTTACACTTATCTTTTGGACAGCATAACCCAATTACCGGGGCACCTTATAAAATTTAACTGAGAATACGCCGTAAAAAATTTTCAGAAGAATATTCCAGAACTTCATGTGTGTCATAGTGATCAAGAAGACGGATTGGCCATCGGTTCAATATTGTACGGGCTTCTCAGTGCGAAGACGTCATGAGGATTGGCCTTGTGCAAACTTGAGGGACGCTAAGGCCAATCACTACGCCTTCCTACTTGTAATATATCCACAGATACAGGGCCTAGGAAGAACACAATAGCGTAGCCCGATAGAATGGTATATTCGAGAGATCTTGGCAAAATGTCTGTGCGCCTATGTCGGAAAATTACGAAATTGCCTGAACAGTGCCTCTAGGTAACTACACAATTCAACGATTTCTCTAGCACATAATACGTACTCTACGGCGAGAAAATGACTAATTAACTACAATCGTTAAATACCTGCGAATGAGCGACAATACACGTGACAGTGGAATGTAAAACTATGCCCACAGGAATCTTTTCAAATGTTCAGCACTTCATGTAAACAGTCAAAGGATAATGAGTAAATTCACAGCTAAGTTTATACTTGAGCTAAACGAAATGTACAACATCCCCTGAGTGTCAAAAGTTCAAGATCACGCAATAAACAGGCCGTTAGCGATAGGTGATAATCAAAACAAGGAAAAACAACAAGTTCCATCTGGAGGTTTGTGGAGGTTTATAAAATGATTTCCATGAATTCATCATGGACTGACATCAAGTGGAAATACTTTGGAAACCTTGAGGAATTGGCCGGCTATTTTGTCCTAATGTGGAGCGTCAAAAAACTCCGTAAAACACACTGCACAAGACGGCATTTCGAACCATTCATTTGGTAAAAGTTGATGAAGGCGATCGATAAAATCAAAATATATCGAATGAAATGATGTCTGTGAAATCTTGGTGAAAACTCTCCTGAAACCGCAGCTGTCATCTGATTCACAAACGCAATACAAAATGACTACTTACAACGGTTTAGATCGTTATGCTTTCGTTTTTTTAGCAGTTTGAATCACGAAAGTCCAAGACCTCCCTTAACGTGAAAAGGCAGTTGCCGTCGGTTTCTGAAAGCAAATCCTTCATATCATTTGTGAAAAGTGAATAGCACCAATAACACTGTCTATAAGCTTTTGTATTTATATGCATGTAGTAGTCACTAAATACCACACACTCAAAAAGAAACATCTATGAATCTACGCTTTAAGGTGGGTGATGACACTGACAACTTCCGTTTTCAGACATTACAAAGGTTATGAGAATGTTGGCTCTTCTAATAGGAGTGAACGAACTGCAAATCCGCAGCTGTTTGTAAACTTATATGCTGTAGATAAGGAACTCCTACAATTTGAGGCCTCATGAAGCTTCAGTTTCTCAACTTCCGTTTTCAGACATTACGAAGGTTATGAGAATATTGGCTCCTTCAATAGGAGTGAAAGTCAGAACTGTTGTTGAACCTCAACAAACCCTAGGACTTTTTTGCGGGGGAACTATTTCCCACCACACTAGCTCGGGACACCTCAGAAGACATAACAAGATAATACAAAGGCAATGGACAAACGTGGTCTCCGTAGAATATTGGTTCTCTCATCGAGTAGTCAGCTCCTGGAACTGACTCCTAGAAGAGGTGGTGTCGGCGTCATCAATCGCCTCGTTTAAAAGAGGACTAAACAAACAGAGATACATAGTGTAGATGGATTAATATAGGCTCATATCCTTCTATCCTCAAATAGCAAATCCGGATCTGACAAACTTGAAATCTCCTAAGTAATATTCCCAACATTGTATTCAATCATGAGATTTCATAAGGACGTTTCAGCTTAAGTCAATGAAAAGTTTCATTTTCAAACTTGGCTTTTATATACTCTCATGCATGTATTCATCAAGGTGATTCAAAGTGCGACTTTCGGTTTGGGAGCGTATTTGAATCTGCCGGAGAATGGTGTAGATTCTGTCAGTTTCGTAACTTTGTCGAACATTTCCTGATACAACACTGGCTTTGTGAGTCTGTCGAATTTCAATGCTTACGATTCACTTTCAATGTAATTTAGCTGTGGTTTAAAAATATGTGAAGAATAAGCTGATTCCTGGTTTATTTGTCCACCCAAAGGATTGTAAATTAGCGAATCATGGGTTCGAAGTTTACTGTAATTACTAAGTTTTGAGAAACTGAAGCTTCATGAGGCCTCAAATTGTAGGAGTTCCTTATCTACAGCATATAAGTTTACAAACAGCTGCGGATTTGCAGTTCGTTCACTCCTATTAAAAGAGCCAACATTCTCATAACCTTTGTAATGTCTGAAAACGGAAGTTGTCAGTGTCATCACCCACCTTAAAGCGTAGATTCATAGATGTTTCTTTTTGAGTGTGTGGTATTTAGTGACTACTACATGCATATAAATACAAAAGCTTATAGACAGTGTTATTGGTGCTATTCACTTTTCACAAATGATATGAAGGATTTGCTTTCAGAAACCGACGGCAACTGCCTTTTCACGTTAAGGGAGGTCTTGGACTTTCGTGATTCAAACTGCTAAAAAAACGAAAGCATAACGATCTAAACCGTTGTAAGTAGTCATTTTGTATTGCGTTTGTGAATCAGATGACAGCTGCGGTTTCAGGAGAGTTTTCACCAAGATTTCACAGACATCATTTCATTCGGTAAAGTTTGTAACATCTCAAGTTTTTATTTGGGATATCTGTAATTCTGAAGGTGATCGTCCTCTGCTTGTTGATAGTGCTTGGGTTGTTACAGGTTGGTCTTAGTTGAGGATGCATAAACATATTTGAAATTGGTAGTTCGCTTAAATAATCGTTGTTTAAAATTCTTCTTCGGTCGGTTTTTCCTCTATGTTCGTAGTTAAAGACAGCTTTATTTGGGGAACATCTTTTAGGGTCACGTGAGGAAACTTTCAAAGTCAATTTGAGCATTAGTTTTGAATCTGTAATTTACTGGTTATTATCTGCAGCTTTTTATGCTGGGCGTAATCTAAGCCAGGTGGATTGAAACTATACTGTTTGTCATTCAAAAAAGTAATTGTAGGTTATCAGCACTTATAAAGCCTTAGATCACTGAATTACTTGTATTAGGACCAAAGCAATGGCCTCTTACGAAAAACACACCATGCTCTTAAGTTACCGTCTGCAACAGCATGCTTTTTCTAGAAGCTAGTTATATTACGTGCATTAGTTACTTCTTAGGCAAAATTTCGAAGTTAGAATACCGTGTAGGTTTGTAATTAGTAAATTATAATCGTATTTTAAAGACGTTACCCGCTAAGCTGTGAAGGAAGCGTACTGCGTTAAGACTAATGGTAACGCGGCGAGAGAACCTAAGCAAGTGAGTCAAACACTTAACTGGGTATTTAAGTCTTTTGGTTATGACTGCGTGAAACAAAAGAAGGGGAAACTAAAAAAGTGAATGATCAGTTTTCTACATGAGATGCGATGTCTTCTTATACTTCTGTCAAAAAATCAAGTCCGGTGGTTACGTAATAACCAACTAAGTACTCGACTGTCCTCTAGCTCTGATTAGTGGCAAGTTTCTATATGTCATCCAAAGCCCGGAACATCAGTTTTTCCAAGTGCCAGTGGACCTTTTGTGTGCAAAAGGATAGTTGTAAAATCAATTAAACAAAAGCTAATTGTATCACATGTAGCTTCAGAAATAGATGTTTCACTCTTATGTCCTAAGATAGTATTTCCTTCTCTTACGAAACAATGCAAGGCAAGTTTGTTGGCAGTCAAATATCGAAATCTCCAAATTTCCAACATTTCTGCTTAGTATGCGATAATGTGTTGAGATAGAGCATAAAGACTTGTTAATTTCATTAAGGTAGGTAGTTGCGCCAGCTTGGGTCTTCCAGCTGTAAGCAAATTCTATGATTGATGCTAAGAACTTATGTCATTCTTAATCTGGGAATCTGACTGAGTACCCGGTTAAAGCCCAGTATCTTGTGCAAGATGAAAAGATGTGTTCAGTGATGGACATCCTACAAACAACACGGTTGTGGTGAAGCCATTGAGTAATCAATACTTTAGTTAAGCTCATAGTTTCGGACAGGGAAGTTTAAGCATTCGGTGAGACTGTGAAGGTGCTTCAGCTGGTTGTTTTGATGTGGGTCGTTGGTGTATCCACTCGACCTTTAACCACGGGGTCACAGGTCCGAACCCTGCTCCACCTACCGAGGTTTGGGCTGCCGGATAGTATCAATAGGCCTCACACTATATGCGTGGCTCGTCGCCTACTACACGGAAGTACACAAGGTGGCTGGGTGCGTTTCATTCTTTTTGGGCTCGTCGGCTGGACGTACCTACAACCCAGTGAGTGTTGTTCCCACTAGGACTCGAACTCGGTACCCATCACTTCAAATGCTAAATGCAGGAAAGCCACCACTTGTGCAACTTGTACCAGCTGTTGTTCACTGATTGTAATTTCCACTGCTAGCCACTAAATAGACTATAATATAGTGAATATCCAGGCAGTATTGAGGCATCTGCATTGGAGCCCATCTGCCAACAGAGGTCTGGCAATTCTGTCTATTGTAGCAACGCGCAATTAAAAGTACCACTAAACCTCCATGGATGGAGGGACATCAAAAGCAAAATGTGAGGCTCCGAATAAGGTCATAATATGAGTATTTAAGCCTACAAAGTACCTTAAAGAAAAATTTCGTCGGCTAAGGAATCTTATTGAACCTATTCAACAAAATTTAGTCTATCAAATTCTATGCAATAATTTTGGGATCAAATACAAAAACAAACTAGTCGACTGAGTTTATGTAGCTTAGTAAAACAGAAATCTAGCGTAATATAAATGGTTAACCGTGGAAAAATGAGAAATCTGAAAACAACTTATCCATAGCTAAGCATCCAGTCACTATCGATAGAATGTGTAGAATGATAACGGGTAAGTAGAGACATCGATAACTAAGGTTTTGTGTATCGGATAGACGCGACACCAGTTGTGGAGAAGTGGGGAACTACTGATGCAGTCAAAAGATGAAGAATAGTAAAACTTAGAACGATACCGAAAGGTTGATTGATTACTTTGAAATGAATATGACTACTAAATTCTGCTCGAAACGTCATTAGTAAATAATACTGTTTCACTGTAAAATGCGTGTATTAAGAGAACTTTAGTCGAGTTCTTCTCTGCTATATTGCGTGAATACTAATATTTCCTTTGCTATCCAGTTGACTAGGTACAGTTCTTCAATTAGTCGGACGAAGGATATTAAAGTCAGCATTTTGATTATTGTCATGTGTATTTGAGGATAGGTCTTCGAGAGGAAGATGAACTTCTCGGGATTACTTAATCGCCAGTATTGTGAAATCAGGTGTACACTAACGTAGGACCTGCCATAAACACATCGGTCCATGTTGCTACTCTTCACTACAGCGCAATAAGGGATTCAGTAAAGGGAATGACAAGAGAATATCAACAATTACTAAAATACATGACAAGGAACACAAATATATTACAGTACGGTTTAAAAAAAGATAGCGTGGGTTCGTCTGTTTTAAGCAGCACACCTGATTACCAACGAATGATACATGTTTAATGACAAACAACCACAAAAATGCAGATGCTTGTTAATACAGTTGTGCTATTCATATACGAAAATACCAGGCGGAATTATTGTGACAACACTAGTAAGTTGTCACATGTTGATATGTGTATGAATATGAAAATCTTGAATATTTCAGATGTTTCGAGGTCCTTATATTTGGTGTGCTCAGGCTCGCGGCATGACTTTGCTCCAACAAATTATACAAGATGGCATTATGCGGGAATTAGTGTGATTGGTTATCTCACTTGGGTGTAGACTAAGTAAACACTTTCGGAACCGGGTATCTTTCCATATCTACTACAAGTATGCTTCTGTCGGGCCATAGCTATAGGAAGATCACTTTTGTGGATTATTTTTGTTTCGTATTTCTTGGCCAATATATCTCGGTGAACTAAAATAGTCACGATTTTTCTGTACGGTATATTTTATTTTCACATAAATTAATATCTCAAATGCTCGTAATGTAATACATTTTATGCTGACTATTTCTAGTCTTATTTTACTATGAATCCTGGAATTTTTTAGTTTCATAATTTTCATGAACACGTATCCTATTCTTAATCATGCATTATTATCGAATACAACTTACTTTTTCAGATATCTACTTTGGCTCTGATGCTTCAGGAACCTATTCTTCATCTTAGTTCGGAAAAGGAGAACCTCAATACAACATTCTTTTCAACTGTGTCTCATTCCAAAGAAAGACTGACAAAGCTAGTGTTGAAGATATTAAACGTTTTTGCGTAACTTCTACTCAGGACAAAAAAATGCCAGGAGTTTCTACTGTAACTCGTACTCAAGGTCATTGCAGATCTGGTTCCACCAACACCGACTCTGTTTTGTCCTTCCGAATTCTCAAGTATCATCCAAATTACGAGCAGTTGGTGAACCGACCTTAAAAAAGTCATCTAGCTACCAAAATATAAAAACTGTCAATTCTGGGAAAAGCCAAACAACCATGCATTTATCAAATTTACAAGCTATTCAGCCAGGGAAAAAAAGAAATCTCAATCATAAACAGAAGCATCATGGTAGTGTAGCTAACATCCCGACAGCTTGTTCAAAAAATACAGAGCTTACTTCTTCAGAACCACATTTTCAGACTCATCTCAATACCCAGTCTAACGCCCATCGCATATCTGTTAATAGTGACTTACTTTCGCGTGTAGAAAGGGAAAAAAAGCAATTTGAAGCTCGGATTTCTGAGTTAACCCAGATTACAGAAACACGTAAAATGGAAATTGAGAAGTTGACATTCGAGGTGCGTCGTGCTAAGGAAGAGGCATCAAAAGCCCTGTCATTGGTGGACGAAGCTAAGCTTGAAAATACCCAACTGAGAAATCAACTGTTAGCTCTCGGAAGTCCATGCAAAAAAGACGGAGACCAGTGGTCCACAGTCGAAACGCATCAAAATACAAAGCAAAGTTTAACTACTTCGAATTCACGTAGACTTGCATACACATCATCTCCTCCAGAATCTCTTGGTACAACCACACGTCTTACACCAGGTGGAGCCACCACTGCTCTTACCGGAGCTGTTACTGCTAGCTCTAGATCAAGCGAATGGAATGATACTGTTCCAGGATTTGAATTGTGTCCTACCGACGAACCTACAACGTATGATGCTAATTATCTCGGTGATTTAGAAAGTCTAAGAGATATCAGAAGTCAGAGCGAAAATGCGGTTGTCAGTGTAGCCACATTACAAGGGCGTCTGTTGCAAATGGAAGAGGCTAACTACACTACTAATGAGGAACTTCAGGCCACCTTACAAGAACTGTGGGATTTACAGCGGAGTGTAGATGAGGCTCATGAACAAGCACACAGTCTTGCTTTTGAACGTGCAATTTTACTAGAAGCTCTTTCAACTCAAACTTCGAAACTTGAACATTGTCGTTTTCAAATTGAACAGTTGAAATACTTATTACTCACAGACCGTAGCGCCCAAACGCCTGGTACACGAGAACATCATTTTTGTGAGTTGTATTCATCCATTGAACAAGAAAAGCAAGTGTTACTTGGTCAAAATAATGACTTGGTTCAGAGTTCTGAAAGCTTAACCCATGAATGCCATATTTTGACCGAGAAAGCCTCGGCCTTACAGGATAGCTATGATGCTTTAGAAGCTGAGTACTCATCTTTGGAAAAACTTTATCAGTCTGTGTTTTCAGAATTAAATGCACTTAAGAGCCGAATTTCTATAGATTGTCTCAATGGTCCACAAGATTCATTAGACCACTTGAAGGTAGCTAGCGTTGCTGTTCAAACTGACAGTGTCTTCTTCATTGATTCACCGAAAAGCCCACAATTGGTATCCGATATTGAAGATCAAAAGAAACTGAATGAAATCACTACTGAACTGCATAAAGTAAAAGATAAGTACGAACTTTTACTTTGTGAGCGTGAGAGAGAACAAACTGAATGGCGATTGTATGAACGGGATTTACTCAAGGCTGTTCAAGTAGCTGATGAGATTAAAACGGAGTCTGAACTAGAGTCCCGCAGGCTGAACTTAGAAAATTCATCTCTAAAGGAGCAAGTGAGTGCTATAAAGTTATAATAACATTGATGGTTTAACAGAACTCAATAGCTCATCGAGTTGGTATGGTTTTTTCCGGGTTGATCATTTTACCAGTTATTCATTACCAACATGGAATCTGGGATTACTGCATTAATGCTCGGATCAACCATACATATCAGGGTAAAAGACAATGAGTCGAAAGATAGCAATAAAAGTGACATAATCAACGGCCATAAAACTCATTAGACAAAAAGCAAATAACGACATTTGAGATAATTATCTTGATAGGCTGTGAATGCAGCTGCATCACTTATAAGAAATCAACCATATTACTTGCTGTCCCAATCCATTGTTCTCTGTTGTCTCATAGGTTTCAGTTACCGTTTCTACGAGGTTAACCAGAGAGAACTAAGTCCAAGTGAGTTTGAGTCCTTAAAGTGTTAGTTGAGGATTAACTTCCTAGATTATAGCTTCAAATATGATGAAGAAAACAAGTCCAGATAGGTATTCTTCAATAAAGTAGTTGCACAGTTTCTATTAATTGTCGTTCAACTAGGCATATGAGAATTAGTCTTTTAGCAAATTCTGTAATAAAGTATTATCAACACTTCATGGGTTGGTACATGTAGTATGAAACCCTGGTAGTAAATCTAATAAACGTGAGGCTTTGGGTAAAGAAATGTTGAGGGGAACTCCTCCTTAAAGTAATACGAAGAGAAGCAGATTTCGTAGTATGTAAATTTTATGAAATGCAACGTATTGAGCACTATTGGGAACTATAGATATCGTATGCTAGCTTGATACAGTTTTTGTATTAGGCTTTGAGACAGAATTGTGTATGGTAACATATCTTGAACAATGGGTTTGAACTCGTAATCCTAATTATCGTATATGAGCGGAAACGTTTTCAAGGGATTTGGTTGCACTAGTACTGTAGGATTATTTGCATTTTGCAACTATCCTATTGTGGTTAAAAGATGGTCTTTTCCAAATACTGCAGTAGTTGTTAACACCGCATATATATATATATATATATATATATATATATATATATATATATATATATATATATATATATCGATTTGAAACAGGTGTCCTCACTCTTTAATTTCATCCATTTGACACCAAAATGCAATGAAGCTGAACTGTCATGAACTCATTCACTTTTAGCGCTTGCTGATAGAGTGAACCGTGGGGCATCCGGACTAGAAGTGTTCTTTTTCAAAACTGTAGATATTTTTAATGCTAGCAAAGTGATGATTTTCTTTAAAGGTAATCAGTATCTCCGTTTAATCTAAGTAGGTTAAATCTACTTTTTTATTGTTAGAAGCGACTTTGGGAAAACGAATCCTGAAAATTTGCATGCTACCGTTGTACATTGATGAACTTTGTCTGCTGAATGTTACTTATGATGACACCAGGCACACTTTTTCTATGGTTTCCCTGTGCACATACAAAGGTGGTACAGTTCTACACCTGTTACTCTTTGGATATAGAACTTTTAGTTTCCAGGTTAATCTCACGTTTAAGAATGCATATTTACCATTCATGTGCCACTACAAAATAGAGAGATAAGTATATACTGAGCTTGCTTCGAATAAAAAAAATGAAATGCACTCAACCGTGTGCGCATTTGTGCAGTAGGCAATGAGCCATACCTATTGTGAAAGGGCTAATAATACTGTCTGGCTGCCCAGACAGAGCAGGGTTCAAACATGTGACTCATCGGTTAAAAGTTAAATGCCTAGACTAGTGAACCACAGTTGCAAAACGAAAACATACAGTTTAATAGTATGTTTAATAACTTAGCTAAGTTGCTAAACCACATACTTGATCTAACTAATAAACTCTAATTTCAACAAAGTAAGCTTTCAATTCTACCATTATCCAGTAGCTAGTGGTGTGCACATGTTAGTTACTCACAGAGTTAACATTTCACCAAGTAAAATGTATTACAAGAGTTGTCATGATGGAAGGAAAACCCTGTTACCGGTTTATTTAAGTTGTCATAAACAGAAAGAATAGTGATTATGAGTTCGCTTGTAAGTTAACTAAATTATCATACTGATGTCAATTATCTGTAATTCACAGGTTAATGGCAGTTGTGGTTCACTACTCTAGATTCTCAACTTCCAGCCAGTGGATCACGGTGTCTAGATAATTGGGTAATATTATTAATTATCATATACTAGGTGTTTACTATAGCTCAGTAGACGGACACATTACCTATGTACACTTGTTTAAAACCGAGTTGTTTCTAGAAATATTTTATTATCTTATTGTATTGTCTTTTTTCGAATATCGTCGTGATCTAATATTAAGAAGTGTCAGACAATGACAGCAGTAGTAATAAAAAAAGGAAAACACTATACCCTTCATAACTTTTTTTGTCTTATGATGATAAATCATCGTACAAAGAATGTTGTATAAGTAACTAAAGAAGAATAATATGTAAACAGTTTGTGTTAAGCAATTCTGCTGCGCTTCATTTATTCTAAATATGATCAATAGGTAAAATGGAAGTACTTGTGTTCAGCTTAGCCAATAAAATTAGTTTCTTTCTCAGATTGAATAATCCTAGTAATAGTCACAATAATATTTTAATAGATTACTTATAATGCTACCGTGATTAGTGCCTTTTTGAGGCTGAATTTCAGGAAGAGAAAAAAATCCAGTGAAAGCAACACAACGCGGGAAAAGTAATCGCTACTTTGTGGGAGTTTTTTTTCAGATGAAAAATTAAATCAAGTTGACTAAAGACACTCATACAAAGAAATTTATCTCAGTTTGAAGGTTTGTGGGGATACCAACCTGAAATGTTTATCTCTTTAGTAGTAAAAAGTGTTATGTAGATGAGACATTAGTTTGATAATTTTAGAGTAATTTATTGATCATTCTTAGTCAAGAACTTTGATATATTGCTATGCTTTGGTTCAGGCCTTTGGATAAAGTGTAGACATCGTAAAGACAAAATATTGATAAATTGTTATCAACCTTACTGTTCTGTTGTCTTTACAAACCTCGAGAATAAGTGATTTTACAAGTAACTCTGTCTTTGAAATAATATATGACAACCCAACTATGCATCATTTGAGTGGGTTTTTTTAAAAATCCCCTTTTTCCGTTTTCCATGATGTGTTTATCAAAGTTATTAAAAAATGGTTTACTTTTACTGTAGCTATCAGTCTGTTCTATTGATTTCATGTTAATTTTCTACCAACTGTATGGTGATTTACAGTTTTACTGCGTATGTGCACAATTTTCGTTTTACCTTGGGATAGATTTCTTGTGTGTGTGTGTGTGTGTGTGTGTGTGTGTGTTTCTCTAAGTATCCAGGGTTGAACAGTGTACAGAATTAAAACATGCTGGTAGTGGTTATGTGGATAGTAAGCAGCGGGAAAGACACTATACTGTGCCTTCCACCATGTTTTATTTATGGTCGAATTCCTTGCAATTTAAAAAAAATTGCTTGTTGTAAATTAAGTGTATTACTTGAAGCATCGTAGTAATTACCGAAATTCTACTATACAAAGGTGGATTTATGACTTTTGTTGTGTTCAAGGTTTCATAGTTGTTAGTCGTGTATAATTCATGCATAACACATACCAAATCAACTCAGAAACCATATTCAGGTTCTTGTACTAGTCAGTTAACTGCACTTATGAGGTTCATTAAGATTTTGCGACTGTCAAAAGGAATAAGTTATTCTACACCTGCTTAGACTGAACTAGTTTAGTTATATTCTAGAAACCAAGAAACAGAATGCAGTCAATCCATATGATTACACTGTGTTCTCATAATCCCGTAGAGTAATTCAACCGAAGTAGGTCTTAATATTGCACCTAAGTAACCTACCAAAACACTTTATAGATATCCAAACTTAGTGTGGATTTAATGGTTGAAAAAAATTGGGCATTGAGTTAATGATATTCATTATTTTGGTATTTGTATTTCTCAATGAATGTAAAACAAAATAAATTTGTCTCAACTGACGTTTCGGTACTTAGTTCTAATAGCTTTATCAAAGTTATAGTAGACCGGAATTTACAGTATTCAAACTTATATATGATAACTTGACAAGTGTTCTTCTGTATGAATGGTTCTGCATTGTCAGAATTGTAGAATAAAGATGATATCCATATGTAGTGTATTGTGTGTAAAGAGTGTATGAATTACAGATTAAGATTTGTGTGTACACATGTGTTGATAGTTCATACAGTTGCCCAACACACTATGCATTAAGTCCTTGATATTCTTTTGAGCCATGTTAGGCAATGCAAACTAATCGGTTGGGGTCCACGGGGCAAGAGAAATCAGTGGTTGTAGTCTGTAGGTAGTATGACTCAGAACTAATGTCACTAGCGCAGATGATACATACATTATCTTCATCTTAACCGCTATACTCAGTTACATCATTTTTTCATTCCTCCCTCCTCTATTTTACTCCTTTTGACCAACTCTTGTTTTCTTCTTCATCTTCTATTCTCTTACTTGTTACCTGCCGAACTGATATGAGGTGTGGCAACTTGAAGCGTTACGAAGTAATGCCTGGTTCTATGTTGATCTTTATGTTTGATTTTGTCTTGTGAAAAATCAGTTTTCTCAAACACTTATGTAAAGCTGATTCGTCTCTACAGATATTCAATAATATATCTGGTGCATATCGTTTGCTTGGGCTTGCATTCATTTTTACATACATGCGGTTTTATCTTTGATTTGTCTATCAAAAGAAGGTTCAAGTATCTGCAGTTAAGGGGTATGGCTTCTGTAAATTTTATGCACATCTTTCTAATGATTACAAACAGAAGCGAAGCCGAAGTTTGAATTTTCCGAAAATTAATTTACTCATCAACTATCGTATCTGATGACTTGGCAAGCACATTTAAACTCTTTAAACACATATGGAGAACTAAGTGTGTTTGTTACCATTCATGGATAGATAGATCTGTAGTTCACAGGTCCAAGTATACAACTTCAAATAAGTAGGTTAACGGTTTTATATCCTGTTCCATTCAACTATGTTTTGGCCAACTAGATACTGTGGTAACCTTCACACATCTATATGTAGATATTGAACTGCATTAACCTTTATTTCACTCAAAAAAGAATAATTTTTAGTGTTAGCATAATAAATCATGCCTGTTGACATTTTACACAACTAAATAGTTTTGCAATCAGTCAGTCAAACGAGTTCCATCGTAACCAGGTAAAAATTCAGATTTTCATTACTCACATAGATGATGTGAACCGATATGGTGTACTGTTGAACGTCAGTCACTAAGTTTTGCTTTCTATATAAAATTGCCAGAAGTATTCCACTCTCAGCCTTACACTCAAATGGATACTGCATATAATTCGTACATTGACAAATTAGGGTTCTTCCTTGATCCATACATTAGTTGATGTATCCGCTAAATTCAAGGTCTTTGTTTTCACTATTACTTGGTTCCTTTAACATAAAGCAGAGACTGTTGTTTGAACATAGAAGAATCTGAAGGTTGGCTTATGTGTGTGCGAAACCTGAATACACACATCTGTATTTCCTAACCTCATGTCACTCAATATTGGTGGAAGAATAAGAACAAGTTGACTTATTCAATGAACCATAGCACAAAATGTGCATTATTTCCAAAATGTTTTCCTCTGTCATGACTGGGTTTTTTAGCATAGATGTCACCACAAAATTTTACATAATCCAAGTGTCTAAATGCACACTCATGTGGCTACTCATCAGCGTGTTTCATATGTTTGACACAATTGTATAAAAGCGATTTGCAGGAAAAGATGACAAGGGTTCTAACACCAATGTATTGTCGTACTGGCATTCATGTAGACATGTAGTCGATTCTCATGTACTTCATATCTTGAGTGATGATTCAAAGCCACTAGTTCACGACAACTTAGTGACTTCTGTTCTCAAAAAGGTGATCAAATTGTATACTGGCTATGTGCTTTTTTCAAAGTTTGTCAGTATCTGAATTCTTGGTAACTTAGTACTTAATAATAAACCCCTTATGTATAGCTTTCAGTTTATCAGTTAATCTTTCTTCACAGAGTTAATCTTATCAGTGTATCTTTTATTGTATCTCCAAATGGCGTCCATTTGTTTCAAAAACCGTTTTTAGAATAACTGAGTGCCTAAAATTATCAGTTACTTAAACAGCTTGTCTTGCAGAGGTGAAATAATAAGTTATCATATTTGGGACTAACCAAATCAATTGCTCATTTATCACTTTCTAAACTCCTTCTTTTGCATTCAATTTAGCCATTAACATGAAAATGGTATATTTCCCTTGTGATATATCTGTAGGTTGAAAAATTAACAAAAGAATCCAATCAGTTGCACTTGGAAATTGGATCACTAAAAGATAAAGTCAATTTGTTGTCATCTAAAAACCCTGAAACTGAACATCGAGATTTAACAACTGCGAATAATCATCAGTCAGAGGCGTTGAATAAACAAATGACTGGTCCTTTCTCAATATTATCTACAACATCTGCATCAAATCAAGCAGTATTACCAACTGTTGTCAAAATGTTTGCTCAAACAGCTCTTCTACAGCTGCTACCACTTACCTTTCAACAAATACACCTAATTCGTGTCGTCTGACATCAGGGACAGTAGCAGAAAATAACTATGCTGGACGTAATAGTAGTATGATGCATGTCTATCCTACACACCGTTCTCCTGGGTTTAATCATACCAATCATTTACATTCTACCTATCCAGGTTCACCTGGTGCACCAGGTCGACCTAGTGCACTATCAACTGGTCCTACTGTACGCAGTTTAATCCAAAGTATTGAAAACCAGGTATGTGTTGCTGTATGCTTAAAGCTTTAAATGGTGATATTTCAGTTATGATTTAAACTACAGCCATATCGCTTTTCTCTGTTTGCCTTTTTTATGGGCAATAAATGTAATCTTTGTCTTTTTGTTTAGTCTATCCAGTCTCTGTTTATGACTTACTGGTTTACATAGATGTTTTACCCTCAATTATAAATGTCATTTACTTCTTCCCATCCTTGGTATATATATATATATATATATATATATATATATATATATATATATATATATATATATATATAAACTGGCAGTTTAGAACAGTTCTCAGAATGTTTGTATTGCATACATATCTCCAAGTTTTAAATACTTATAGACTGAAATTATTTCATGAGTGACTGCAACTCACATTCATAACAATTTCTCTCTATGGCTTGTTCAAAAGTACTAAAGGAGACTGTCAACTAGGATTATCATTGAATGCATTCATTTTTTAGCAGAAAGTAATCGACAAGATGTCTTTTCATCTGTCTAACCACTGTGTTGTGTATAAATGTAATTTAACTAGTGAATTACGTAGATCTAAATGATTTGTGGCAAGACCACAGGTTTTTTGATTGTTATTCATATTGAACTAGCCAAACGGGCAACATAACATGTCATAAAGTACTTCATTTCAAGTCGTTACACTTCACAGCAACGAGTGACTTTAAAGGCTAGTTACCAAAGAGGAGAAATAAAGGAAACAATGGGCTGACTACTTCAAAAAGCTGTTGAATCGACCACCACTTGCACTTTCTCCAGAAATACCACCAGCAACGGCAGGATTACCAGGGAACACAGGCGCTCCGACGAAAGCAGAAGTCCTGAATGTCATAAAGCTGCTGAAATGTGGTAAAGCAGCAGGACCAGATGGAATTCCACCAGAAGCACTGAAAACAGATGCACAGACAACAGCGGACATGCTCACACTACACCACTACTGCAGAAGGTTTGGAAGGAAGGAAAGGTACCTGGCTGTCGATTGGAAGTAGGGCTACCTTTTTAAACTCCCGAAGATGGGAGACATAAGTATTTGCAAGAACTGGCGAGGAATCATGCTGCTGTTCACCCCAAGCAAAATATTATTCCGCATCATCCTGGAGAGACTAAAGGATGCTCTGGATTTAAAATTACGACCGGAACAGGCTGGATTCAGGTAGAACAAATCATGTGCGAATCAAACTGCGACGCTACTCATCATCATAGGACAGAGTATAGAATGGCAGTCAACTCTCTACCTCAACTTCATTGACTTTGAAAAAGCCTTCGATAGAGTCGACCGAGAAGTAATTTGGCAAGCAGTTGCTTCAACACTATGGAGTGCCACAAATCTTTATCAACCTCATTCAACAGCTATATGACGATGCCACATACCAAGTGATCCACAGTCGAAAGCTCAGTGATGCCTTTGAAGTGAAGACAGGAGTAAGACAAGACTGCCGCCCACTGTCACCGATGATCTTCCTGATTGTGGTTGACTGGATTATGCAACGAACTATGAGGAGTGAGAAGAGGGGCATACGCTGGCTGGACCGATGAAAAGACTTCAGAAGAATATTTGAATTTTGCCGATGGTGATTTATGTCAGATGTCTTGTCGCACAAACTCGAAGATCTACAGGTAAAAACTAACAAGTTGACAGAAGAGGCGATGCAAGGCAGCGAAGAGGGGACTTTCTTCATGTGAATGTAGAGAGGACAGAGGCGATGAAGATACCCAACCCAAGCACCAATCACCATCAACGGGAGAAATCTAAAGGACGTAGTCTCTAGGCAAGGCATCTTCGTTCCAACTACAGCCGCACAGACGAAAATGCCAAAACCAGGACCAGAAAAGCAAGACAGGCGTTCATTAACCTGAAATCAGTGTGGAGATCTACTGCACTCAGCACAAAGAACAAAATCCGGGTTTTCAACACTAAGTCAGTCAAGTCAGTCGGTGCTTCTATATGGTTCACAGACTTGGCGCGTTACGAAAAGCATTTCCAACAAACTACAGACGTTCATCAACAGCTACCCACGCTCGTTGCTGAAGATCAGATGGCCAGAAAGAATAAGCAACAAGGAACTCTGGCAACGAACCAACCAAGAACCTATCGCCCAACAAATACGCAGAAGAAAGTGAAGATGGATTGGGCACACACTGAGAAGGCCGATCGGGGATATCACGCGCTAGGCCAGGCCCTCGAGTCGAATCCAGAGGGAAAACGACGAGTTGGGTATCCCAACTGAGGGTGACATTGAGGAGGTGGTGTGAGGAAGAAAAGATATCTTGTGGGCAGTCGTGGAACGAGGTTCAAAAGACAGAGTGCAATGGAGGCGTGCTACTGAATCCTTATGTTCCACTAGAAACCCAAGGGAAAGATAATAATAATTAGCAACAACTGAGATGGCCAATCAGACTTCTCTATTTATGAAAATTTGCCTTTCCAGCCGAAATAAAGAAACCTAATTGGTTGTTTCAGTCGTTGCTAGGGTGGCCTTTAAAGTCGCCAGCATGTAAAGAAGTTGATATTAAGCCAAACAGAAGAGTATGGCAAGACAGAGAATAAACGGACAAAGGCAAATGAAAAGGAATAAATACTTCGAAGGTGACAGGCTATGTACTCCATTGTGACCAATTTTTCAGCATCATTACCAATCTCCAACCGTTGATTCCGATAGCCTATTTTTTTTACTGAGAGTGATAACGAACGAAAATAATATACACAAAACCAAGGAAAAATTACCAGTCTAAATATGGAGATGTAGCGCATTTGACTTCAAAACAATCGAATCCCCCCCACACACACACACACACCTTATTACATCCGTACAATAGGTAAGTGTCATAAGCCCTCACAAATTAAGCGTGGCTTGCAGCCTAGTGCGGAAGCATGTGCCCAGCTGAGTTGCACTGATTTGAGTTCCAACTAACCCGAAATTCAGAACATAATACACACTCCCCCCCTCAACTAATAAGTTTAACATCGTCATAGAAAAACTTGAATTGTTGTGAGAAGAGGTATCTTTGCAGAATTGTCGCATGAATACATACTCAATGAAGTTGAGAGATAAAATAAGGATAACATATCAAGTGTTTGGATTGCTAAGGGTGGAATGATGCGCAATGAAGCACAATTAAAATGCCCGAGAAATTCAAAATATAGACGCTATACAAATAAAAGAGTAGGAAATCTCAGACATATCTGTACACATTTTTTTATCAAATGTATTCCGACCATTTCAACTGACCTAGCCTAGGTAGTGGAATTGTTTGAGGTGTCTACATCAGACTATAAAGCAGTACATATCACTAGAACGAATGAATTTCTTTCAGCTTCACCAAGGTGTATTTATCAAACAATACAAAAGATATTCAAAGATGTCAATGCTCAACAAAAGTTTGGCACTATTGTAGGTAAAAAATATCTCTTCGAAATTATAATTAAACCATCAAAAATTTGCGAAGTATATGTTTTTAATGAATGGACATGTGATATCCAATGTAAGAGAGAAGTCTGCGATTCTACAGAGGAATTTTAAGAGATGTGGCTTTTAGTCTAAGATAATTTAGGACTGGATTCAGAGCTCAACTCATTCTGCAGCAATAAAATCGTACCTCCAGCATAGTCAGATTCATCTACCAACTAAAATGATTATAATCAACCAATCCAGTATCAATGGTTTAAGGGATATAAATTCACTTCACACACAGAGTCTAGCACTTCTGCGTAAATCTTCGTCCTTGAGAGATATCATGCCCTAAAAGCATCATATATATCTTGCTTGACTTCACTAATGTAGGTTTTAGCGCAATCTTAATGCCCATCGAGTTTTCGTGCTGTTCAGTGATGAGAGTTAGATTAGTAATAATCTTCCTTTTCTGGATTCGAAAAAATAGGTGAAGTATGCTGCCAAATCACTACGATTTGTGCTGAACTGTGCTCAAAATAAGCAGTTTTAGCATTTTATAAATTCAAATACTCTTAATTTTCAAGTGAGTTTTCAGATAATTTATTGGTACACAACCTCCATGTATTGGCGTCACGATTTCTTTCTGCATTGAACCTGACAAAACTTCGCAGTTAAACTATGCAGTTGATCTATCCTGTTATTTTGTTGATTTTGTCCGATCCAGTTTCTTTTAAAGCTATTGTCGTCTGCGTCAAATATCCTCGTGTTTACACTGAAGGTAATATCATGGTTCCAATTTGTTAGTATCTTTAATCAAGGTAATTATGCACTCCAGGTTTGTCAAAATAGTTTTCAGAAGTTACATGTTTTCAACAGTAAATAGTTGGGAGGGAATCACTTCATGATGACTTTTAGCAGGAACGTTGAGTAATGTTTGGCTTATGATGTCTCGGTACGATAGGCTTATTCTATCTGATTTTAACACACAGTTTCAGCAATTTGAGTAATTGCTTGACTGTCCAAATGAATACACACTAATTGAAGTGAAAATGAATTTGAAGTCTCTGCACTTAAAAGCTACACAGTAGAAGAGTACATAACTGAGTAACCTGAAGTGCACTTGAAGATTATTAGTACATATTAGGTTATGAGGGTATATATATAACTGCCTTCGTACTTTAAAGAGATTTTTCTTTGGTTGAAAAATCTGATGCGGCGATATAGTTTTTTAACTGTTCATTTATGAGTACTGTAACTTCAAAGGCAGTTACCAGTAGTAGTGTAACTTCAACGTCGCCTCTCTATTTCTTCATGGTTTCATAATAATCCAACAGTATGAAGTCTTGGTTTTATGGCTGTTCAGTCGACAAAATAGTGGAGAGCGTTGATTTTCGCTGGTTAAATCAGACTAGTGTAACTTATTGCAAGAAGTTCAACCATCATGTTATGATAGCAGATATTGTTTAGGGCTATGTCAACCAGGTTAACAAACAAAGCTAAAAATCTACAAAATTTTGTTTACATAGCGTTCCGGCTGACTTTCAGTGGAATCAGTCATTAGTCTTATATTTCTTGAAGGTTGTTTAGACTTTTTCTCTTTGTAGCCACCTATTGTCGTAACTAGGTCAGGTATAAGAGCACCCTTGATGACATCTTTGGAACTTCACTCTAGTATATCAGTAGTGTTGACCACATGTAAATCTTGCTAGAGTAACCGCATATTCACGTTAACAACTAAATTTAGGCATGTCCTTACGATCATCAACTTCAACCCAACAGCTAGTAACATACTTCTGTTTTCTGATGTTGGATAGAACTCATATTTCTGAATACCTTATCAGTAAGGCTATTAACTGTGGACAGCTTGATAAAGTATTTAATTACTAGTGTTTGAAAATCAGTCAAATGGACTCAGATGAATCTGTTCTTTATCTTACCGTAAAAAGTGGATATACTTCAATTTTATTTTATAATTCTTGTTTTAGCTTATTTTATAAGCATTTTTCTCTACAGCAATCAGTGCCATTCTATCTTTTATCTCTTTCGTATTCATTTCTGGTTACTGTGTCGCCTGTGAAGTAAAACAAGTTAGATTGACTAACTGTGGTACTAATTTTGGTCTTCATGTATTTGCATTACACTGAGATGTATTGTTGGTTTTATTGCAATACAGTAAACAAACCTGAGGCAGAATGATATTTTTGAATCCCTTTATCCTCTCACATACTTGTTAAGCACTGTTTTCTGTTAATTAAGAAGTGTGCTATCGACTAGTTATGGTACAGCATAGGTTTTGACCTATACAGTACAATACAAAATTACTAATGTTGGCATTGTTTCTTTCTTCGTTTAATTAGGTCAAAGCAGTACAACATCAAAAGCGCAGTACAACATGTGTATCAGTCAATAATTCACGTCCAGTTCGTTTATATACTAGTAGTACAAATAATGGAACAAATAACCGACAAAATGTCGCACCATGCTTAAGCTTAATGTCACCGATTGGTTATCCTGGGAAATCAACTACTACACCAGCCAGTAACAATGGTGGTGGTGCTGTTATTACACCAAAACCAAGAATAACTATCACTGATCCTGTTATCCCATCAGAAATTAATTGTAAGGTAAAGAATCAAGAGAACACTGATTTAAGCCTGATTCATACCTCCGCACCTGGTGGGCCGAGTTCCTCTATGCTTAATAACAGTCAAAATACAATGAAGAAATATTCAACAGATAATGGTCAACGTAATCTTAAAACACCATTGGGTACATCAACGATAATGAATTCTTCTGGTACAACAGTATTTTCCAGTTTAAATCAATTTACTAAAACGGATTCGAAGGATGTTGTACTCAGGTATGCTTTTACTCAATATAACTTCACAAAGTAATTTGATTTACAAACTATCGAACCTATTTGATGATTCTGATCAGCACCAACGTACAGATTAGCATAGTATACATTGGGTCATTTTTATTTAGTCAGATTGTCCTAGTTGTCTGAAAGATTCTGTCCTTCACCTTGTTTCCATGACTCTTCAAGCATCATTTAGAATCTTGTAGAAGTTGGTCTGAGAGTCATCTCACTAAACATTAAAAACTGAAGCGTGGTTACTCATTATCGATTATTACATAAAACACAATATTGACCTAGGCATGATTCGTAACTCTAGATGATATGCCTCAGAACTGATCCTAGTTGCAAAAATGCATCTTCATCTTAACCACTATTTCACATTTGGTTATTTATTTTAACACTTCTTCTTTTGTTATGACTTTCTACAGATTTCATTTCCATTTCTCCCTATTTCTGTATCCTTTCATCTTGCTTCCTGAATCGTAATATGTTGGTGCGAGGTGTGACAGCCTGGAATGGTTGGCTCCCCAGTAATGTTAGGTCCTATTCTGATAATGACTGACTGATATAATAATATTAAGAAGTACTGATGTTGTGAATTGTGAAACCCACTGATATAGGGGACATGTAATGCATACTATGCATGGAATCTGTGTTGTTGTTGACTGACGAATAGTCAAAAACTTCATGCATTGATGTCATGTTTTAGTCTGGCCACCTTGAACCTTTTTCTAGCCTGAACCTACTTCGGCCAAAATTGTGTGACGAGGCAGGCAGTGGCATCATTACACATGTCCCAGCCATCTCAGTCGATGAAGATTCACAACCTTATCAAGTGTCTTACCTCTTCTGCCTAAGACTCTACATCTGACTTCTGTGTTACTCACTTGGTGGCACTACGAAACACAGCATTTGCAACGAAGGCAGTGGTGGCCAAACTCTTGAAGCCTTCTCATATCTTCTACCTTTAATGCCTTTGTTTCACAGCTATACAGTAGAACAGAACGGACTACAGCACAGTACACTCGAACCTTAATAGACAGTTGGATATCTCAGCGGCGCCGTAGATGGCGTAGGTTGGCAAAAGCCAATCGAGCCTTTTGTATCCGCGCAGAGATTTCGTCCATCACTGACCCACCAGGGCTAATCTGACCTCCCGGGTGAGTGAGTGTTCAACATGCTCAACCACTTCACTCTCTACTGTTAGTCGAAGTGCTGTTGAAGACCAGTTCTGAAGCAACAATTTGCGTTTAGGTGGCGAGAAACTCATCCCAAACATTCTCAAACTGCCACTCAAGGTATGCAGAAGAATCTACATCTTGGTAGCAACTTCACCTAACAGGACTATTTTATCTGTGTATTGTAGGTCTACCGAAAATTCTCGTGTTATCCGGTCAATCCATGTTTAGTCAGATGACGAGAGAGAGACCTCCATAAGAACATTTATGATCAAATTGAATAGGAATAGAGAGAGTGGGCATCCTTGATGGGCAGCACTCGACAGCAGCAATATATCAAATCCAAATATTATATATATATATATATATATATATATATATATATATATATATATATATATATATATATATATATATATTGATATTCAAGTCTTGAGAAAATCATCTTTGCAAAACGAAAAGGTACTATCTGTCTGTATAAAGTCGTACTTATGGTGTCACTTATTCTCAGATTAAATGATCTAACAAAGACCTAGAACTAAGAGGGTAACTTGCTTTACTTGTATGTTGAGCTGAGGAAACAATTAGTTCCATCTGCTATTATCTTCAGACGATCAACGTTGCTATCACAAATATTGTGGAGCCAAAATAGTTTGTTTATAATAGTGGGTTCATACACTCAGTTTGTCGCAACTCTGTTATATGTTGAATGCGTTGAACTTTGACTATTTTAGAAAGAATAGTCCTTGTTTAAATCGGTCGAATTCATAGCTGTATCCATTTCTATTTTACTGATCATGTTATTATTATCCCTGTGGTATATTAGACCATTTCAATGCTGTTTTACACTCATACCTTTGCATAGATGTTCACCAATTTTAAATTTTCCTTTCACCACTCTTAGATTACATTATTGCGTAACTTGGTGAGTACTGCTAAGCCCACTATCTGTTCACTTATCAACACTCCGTGCATACGCTAAGATGTACCAGAATGCCATAGAGGTTGAGTCTTGTGTGACTTTAACCAAAATACTTGTTTACTCGACATGGTTTCATGAAGCTTAAGTTTTCAGAACTAGTTTGGTCTGTTTAGGTGTCGTTGGTTACCTTGACAGCGTTTCAAGTATACTGTAAATTTACTCATGCATTTTAATCGTCACAAATTCGTTTTTTTTTAAATCTTTTCAGACGAAATAATAGTATATGTGGACCAAATATGAAAAGTGGATCGATAAATAATAACTTGATTGGAAGTCCTATTATTGAAAGTGCTTCAATACCAAGTGTTGTCCAGTCATTTAACTCCGATACAGCTACCTCTGGATCGTGTGAAAGTAGTAAAAATGATTCGTCAAAACATAAAGAATCACCTCCTAGAAAGCTAGATTTCGTCGGTTTACGGCGTTTCACATCTACAGCAATACCGGATAGTAATAATGTAAAAGCACATCATAATACTAATACCAGTGAAAATGTCAATCCATATATGAATGAATCGGGCATTTCATCAGCTAATGTCAATGAAGGCTTGTTATCTAGTGAGTCATCCAATGATCATTCAAACTCATCTAACTTTCATACTATTCATCAAGTATGGCAAGATCCATTACAAGAGCTAGCTAGATTAACTGGAGCTGGTTCAAAGCGTAATGCCTTATTGCGTTGGTGTCAATCACGTGTACTGGGCTATCCAGGTGTAGAGGTGACTAATTTTTCCAGTTCTTGGAATAATGGTTTGGCGTTCTGTGCATTACTACATACTTATGTCCCGTCAAAAATTCCCTGGAGTGATTTAATTACATCAAATGGTTTACCGGTTGATAAACGACGCTGTTTTGAAGTGAGTTATCAGTTTTATGAACTAGTTCGCGACATATACACTAATTTGTGGATTATACCACTTCGCTTCCACGAAGTCGTGCCAGCTAAATATAAATAATAATTTTGTCAACTACTTCGTTCGTGAAGACAGACACTCACACGCGACATTGAATAATGGCTGCACCATATGGTGAATTGATCGATGTTGGAAGACATAGGTGACTAAAATCCAATCCTGTATTCGTATGTGCTTGATTCAAGGTTTGACTGTCCTAGGCTCCATCGTTCAATAATAATGATAGTAATAATAATAATAATCGCTTTATTCCAAACAACACGTGTGATACAGTATGGAATTTTCAGCATATATAATATTTCAACAAATTCACTTCTGTACAATATTTTTAACAGGAATAATTATTGCATCTAAATAGTATTCATAATAACAGTATTAAAGGCATTAGTGTGAAACGAGCAGGTGGTGTTACATTAGCGTCTGGTCTGGACTCGGGAATGAACACAAAATCGAGCATAATTTTTGACGGTGGTAGTTCATTCACCCAGTACAAAAATCGGCAATTCCTTATAGGTATCCTAGATATTGTATTGTGCTGTATTTTGAGCGTTTATAAGTCGATTTCCACCCGGCGTAACAAAACGTTGAAAAATGTGCGAGAACACATGATACTTTATAATACATATCTAAGTGATCAAAACAAACTGGAAAAGAAGACGTTGATCAAATATATTTGGTGAAAAACTTTTCGTAGCCCAAGATTTAAGCAGGCCGCCTACACCAATGTCAAGGAGTTACGGGTGAAAGCTGTTAAAAAGTCCTGAACTAAGATAAAAACTACTGCTCAGTGGTTTTCATTGTTTCTCTCCCTGATTTCGATGTATGTCATAAAAACTGGTTCAGGATCGATTAACTCGCTACAAACGTTTTAATTAATATTACATTAGATTTCGAAAATTCTTTTATTAATTGGCTGAAGCGCATAAGTTTTTGTTCTTTTATTGCCAACCACTGCTTGGATTTTGCTGACTCTTTAGGTAACCACTTAAAATCATCGAAGCTATTCCAAAATACCCATTCTACGAGGAGTTTATCTATTTCGTATCCCACTGTACAGCGACGTCACAGGTAGCATCAATACATAAGCAGTCAGTTTTGTTGTAGATAGATTAATTAAGACCATTCAATATCACTATATTCCTCCCACTTGACTGGGAAACAAACCTGAAAATGCAGCTGTAGAGAAGATAAGTAGTATCTGTGTTAATCTGCTTCACACAGGAAGACACTTTAAACTCGCATAACTTTGTGGAAGGTATCACCCGACAGTCAACAAACTTTAATGAAGACTCAATTCATCAGTTAGTCGCATTTACTAATCATCTAACTCCAAAGACTTGCTTATAGCATTTTACTGAATGGAGTTATAAACTATATTGACTGATTGACTGATCCACTTAATATCGTCAGTTAGCCAACAATTTCTTTGTAACCATTCATTTTTAAAAAAAAGATGAAAATGAAATATTTTAGCGAGAAAATGTGTTGGAGTACTGAGCGCAAACAGAATCAACGTAGAACCTCGCACACGAGTGCATCGGCTCAAGTTGCCACACTTCTACTACTATTATACTACTATATAATAAGAGTAATGTCAGATTGGACGAAGTTGTGACAGAATAAACAACCTGAAGACAAAGGTTAGTGCCGTTATTCAAGCTTTAGCAGACGTCAAAGAGTGAATCCATCTGCTCTATTGTGGCTGATTTCCAGCCATGCTATCAAGAATCCCCAACCACGTAGTCTGTGTCTCCACACACGGCTCAGACTAACAGTAAGAGACTTCATCAACTGGTGCCACGTTTTGGCTGGTCACCCTGAACCCTCTCCCAACCTAATCCAACTCTCCCTAGCACGGTACGTCGAATTAAGCAGTGACTCTGCGTGTGCAGCTTATATCCAAGTTACCTCAGTCGACGAAAGGTTCACAAACTCACTAACTAATTTATCTGCCTTTCCTAGCACCCTTCTCCTGACCTTAACGTTGCTCACACGGTTATTCCATCATACGCGAGTAATACCACGAAGAAACCTATGGTCGAAAACCTGTAATCGCTTTATGTCTTCTATTCTTAACGGCCATGTCTCAGCCGTACAACAGGACAGAACGAACTGACGGCACTACCTCTGATTCCCATACACTACTTAGTACCTCTCACTTCAATTGGCAATTCACTGCCTCCATCTTTGCAAACTTCAGGTAGGTGGCAAACTGTTAGGTCCAGCTGCTTTGCATTGTTTCATGTTCGATACAGTCTTCTCATCTTCAAGAAGAGTTGAAAGACCGACATCTACGTCCCATTTAGGTTTAGGATGTTAATCAACTGCAGCGTTGCTGAGGTCCAGTCAAACTGTGCTTCAAAGTGTTATGCCCATTCTATCCACCTGTCCTGGGAGGTTATCAGTATCCTGTCCTTTTTGGTGATGGTTTCACTAATCATCATCCTCTTCCCGGTATCCTTAATGAACCTAAATAGTTACCAAGTGTTACCCACCGTAGGTGCCTTCTCTATATCTCTCACTTTCGTCACTCACCTCTGCTTGCGGTTAATGCGAAGACTCTTGGTCAATTTATGTTTGAGTTGCTTTCGTTCTTCGTCGTGGTTAGAGCTAGCTGGAGTCAGTCTTCTGGTATCAGTCAGTTACGATGAGGTCGCGGAGACCCAGTAAAGTTTGCTAACTTTTCGGTGTAAGTTACCAACTTTCTTTACCGCTGTTTCTACAGCAGACTTCACTTCACTCTAGGATCCCTCAAGATGAGCATTGTCGTCACATTTGGATAAGTGCTTAGCTAACTCGTCTCTAAATGCATACTTGGCATCTTCATCTACAATCGACTTTAGATGGACCTTACTGCCTCCTGTAAGGTGCAGATATACATGAGCTCATACTAGCACGTGATTGGAGTCCAAACTGGTACTCCAGAAAGAGTGGT